CTCCGCCTCGCAGTGTGCCAGCCATGGAATGGATGTTTTTACTCATTGTCCAGGCCTTCTTGCTGAGGCATGCGAGTATGACTTTGAGCTGTGGAGCCGCCCTGCTGAGGAAGGCGCGCCGGCATGTGCTCAGGTTGTGTGCTGTGCTGCAGCCCACGGTCCGTGGGTCCATTGCCGCTCTGGACCACTTGGGTGTAACACCTCCTCCTGTGACCTTTCCACACCTCTTTGTGGTTTAGGCCCCTTTTGTATTGATGATCATCGCATTGCCCGTGACTCCTACTGGTCCCGACCTCTTTGCCCCTTTGGGTTTAGTCCCGGTCGGACTTTGGGTTGTAGGATGGGTAGTGCCCCGACATGTGGACACTGTGGCGCGAGTGGCGACGCCTTTGCTGCCTGGTGTTATGACTTCCCTCTTGAGTGCTGTTGCCGTCACCTTGATGCTGCAAGTAGGAAGTGTGGTCAAGGTTGGCTGCAAAGCCCGAGAACATCCCACCGACTGCTTGTGTGCACTTCTGCTTCAGGCTCTGCGCTGAATGATTCTGGCCATGTGTCTTGTACAAGGTGCGGTGCAAGTTGGCCGAAAGGCTCGAGAAAATCCCACCGAGGACAGACACCAATGTCTATTTCGAACTGCCTGCCCCTCGAGACCATCTGCAGTGCTGGATCGCTTTCTCTACTAGCTTTCTTTCAGCAGTGTGTGGGATACTTGGGAGACAGCTGTGCCCGTCATAACAGGTGGCTCGGTGAGCGAGTCGGCGAGGCCAGTCACCCGGGACCCGCAGGTGGTGGTCTTCATCGGGCCCGGTGCCTAAGGAAGGCCGTTGACACTCTGTTTTGCCGCGATTGTTCGGACTGATGGCCTCGTTTCCCCTCGATGGAGCGGCAACCCGCACGCTGGAGTGCGAATTGGCGAAGCCTCTCATCCAGGACCTGCTGCACCTAAGGGTTTGGAAGCTTCGGGCTTTTTAGGGCCGGGCTTACTTGATGCAACCAAGGGTGCCATTCAAAGGATTGTTGAGCAAGCTGTCAAGCAATCGCTGGGTCAAGGGAAGAAGCCCCGGAGCTCCCACCGGGAAGGGCGACCCCCAGGGCCCCAAGGGCAAAGGGGCCGGCAAGAACCAGCTCGCCGGGTCTGCTCCAGATGATGGCTGGACTACGGTTAACCGGCGCAGAGCCATGCAACAGGATGGCTGGAAACTCCGGTCCGCTGATTGGAACGCTCCGGCCTATCACTACACAGAGGTTGCTGATGCTTTGCAGAAGATGAAGGGAGCCGCCTTTCGGGCTGTTGTCCTTTGTGACTCCTCCGATGAGACCGTGGTCCTTGGTGGTTTTTGAAGCATTCTGGAATTGAGCATGCTGTGCGAGTCGTGGTTGTAGCTGCTAAGGCTTCCGAGGGCCAGCGATGCCCAGGTGAAGTAAGCGGCCAGCCGGCCTTCCGACATGTTCGGTTCACCAGCATCTACACCACTGGGCTCCAGGTCCCCGATCCGGTTGTCTCAGGTACCGTCCTTAAGAGGGTCGCTGAGGCACCGACCACCGTGCTCTACATTCGTTACACCGCCAGTTCTTAACTCAGGCGAAGTGGGAGCAGGCCTTGAAAGCCCCTCAGGCTGCGTTCCACTTGTGGGTTGCCACCCATGGGCTAAGGGTCCGGGATTCCTTCTCGTGGTCGAAGGAACGGCACGGCCAGGAGATCACTTCTATTTTCGGCATTGCACGTGTTGACGTCACAGACGCTGAAGCCATTGTTGCCTTGAGTGGCTCCGGGCTCTTTGTAGACCCTCGCAAGGCCGGCTTCCCAGAGTATGTCACTGAATGGGTTGAAACTTCCCAAGGAGACTCCTCTTGACTACTTAGCCAGGGTTGGGGCTTTGGGTTCCCAGTTTGGGCTGGCGTGCGGCACCCGCAGCTTGGGCAGGCGGGTCGCTCGTGACCCTGACAAGGCTACCGCTCGAACTTGGATCCTTGAGCACGCGCCACGCGGGTGGACACCCGAGCAGGCCGAGAAAGCTGCCCAGACCATTTTTGCTGATGTGAAGATGTTGCGTCAACGCCGCACTCGTGAGGGTTGCTCTTTCACTTTTAGGGGCTCTCACACGACTTCCCATGACCTTGTCGCTCTACCGCTTGAGGACGAGGACGGGCAACCGTCTCCGGTCCTTTGGTGCAGGTGGGCTCCGCCGGCAAGGACCGTGCAAAGGCAGGCGATCCACACTTCAGGCAGCTGGTCTTTGCTTCGACCAAAGGACCCTTTTCAGCAAACTGAGGTTACGACCCAGCCTGGGGCCGATGCTAAGAAGCCTGACACCACGAATGCAGGCGATGATGCCACCAAGGAGGCCGGGACCAGTGACGGTACCAAGGGCAACGTTGGAGACAAGGCCAAGGCTCCTGATGGGTCTGTTGCCGGCCCACCTGCTAAGAAGAGGCAGGCGGAGCAGAGAGCCATTCCTGAAGGCTTGTCAGTCAAGGTCGTTCCCGGGGACGGTAACTGCCTTTACTCCAGCTTTGCCCAAGGCCTCGCGGTTGCCACTGGCAAAGAGTCCGTCTTACATCATTTGCAATTGCGTGCTGAGGGTGCAACACTCCCTTAAGCATGCTGACTCCAACAGTCCTACAGTGCCATCTGGGATAAGGAGATGCCGGACGGCTCCGCGGGCGACTCCTTTGAGGCGTACGTCGAGGCCATCGCTAAACCTGGTACTTGGAGTGGCTTACTCGAAATTCGTGCCCTGGCTAGAATGTATGACTGCCGGATCACCATTGTTCCCCGCGCACTTACTGAGCCTGTCTTCACCGTGAAACCAGCCCAAAAACAGCGCATCGTTGTCCTCCTGTTCACGGGGATTCACTTTGACACTTTGCTCCCGGTGCCGGGCAAGTCTTTGCCCAAAGCGATCAAGGATGTCATCACGGAGCCCCCAAAGATCCCGATGAGGGGCGGCGGTGGAAGCCGCTGCACGGCTTGGACTGATGATGCGGCTTCTGGGTCGGGTTCAAGGCGTTCCTCATGCAAGCGCTCCAAGGCAGACCGTGTGGACCGAGCCACCGGAGTCGCAGAAGCGCAAGAGCTCAGCTTCGCGGAGGACCGTTTGGACGCAGCAATCCTGGCTGGCGGATGCAACAAGGATGTAGCCCCCACAATAGCCACTGATGATCTGCAAGTTGATGCTGCCCTTGACGCTGAAGTGGCCCCGGCCATACGCCGACCAGTTGGCGGTCCCAGGACTTGTCAGTGGGCGTACGAGGGTTTTGCGCGCTGCCGTTTGTGTCCCTATAAGATCCCATGCGCTGGCAATCATGATTTGAAGGCGCAGAAGGTGTTGTGGGGTCATTACCATCGACACCACCCCGGACAAACTCACACTGGAAAGGCCAAGGGACCTTGGGCCTCTCTAGTGACTCCGTTGTCGGATGCCCAGGAGGTGGCGTGGAGATGCAAGTTTTGCTCCTGGGGTATTTCCCTCGAGGCCTCCACCTCAGCAGGACCGGCGAGGTTGTTGCGAGACCGCCGTGAACATCGGAGGGTTGCCCATCCTCATATCCCCTTGAAGCTGTGGCGAAAAAAGGATTACAGTGACAGAGTCCACGCCCGCACTCGCACGCACATCAAGAACGGTGATGAGAGGGCTCAGGCACTTGCTGCCCAGGGTGACTTCACTCTCTTTCGGTGGCCTCGCGGGAATAGACGCAAAAACAGTCATCCACGTCTCCCCTTCTCTTTCCTGCTGTCGTGGTTTTGCAATCGGTGTGGCGTTCCTTGCAACAAAGCTCAGCTCGCCAAGCATTCGACAAAGTGTCCGCGTAGCCGTGCAAGGTTTTTTGCTGCCTCTAGGCTTAAGAACCTTAAGAGGACTGAGGCCGAATATAAAGCGGTGGCTCCCAAGGGTGCCACACGCAACATCCACCTGGACATTTTCAAGCACACTAAGGCTCTCTTTCAGAAGGCTCAGATGCGTGCCTCGTCGCCGTGTTTCTGATCCGTATTGGTACCGTGAACGTGAACCGGAAGGGCATCAATGTTCACAGTAGCCTCGACC